AAACTCAAAAAAGTTTATTTTTTGAAAAAAGAAAGATTTGCTACTGTTTCAATTCACCTGTACATGTCAATCATTAGACATAATTTTAATGGTTTATAATAGTAGTGTTAGTTGTATATCATTGTTTCTGCAAAGATTCAGAAGACTTACGGAAAACCTAGCCGATTACATATAACACTGGCGTCTTCATTATTCCAGTCATCATCACATACTGTACCTCTAATACCATTTCTTATAATCTCTACACGACCTTCATTAGGTTTAGTACCGTTAACTAATTCAACTATTGTTTCTACAAAATAACATAATTCATGTAGGCCCTATATTCAGAACTCTAGTAGCATCCCCTAAGCATTTAAAATTCTAAGGGTCTTATTCAGATATGATTGGTAAATACAGTGAAAGAGCAATTTTAGCCTTGCAACAAAACCGTGAACCTGGATATTACTCTATGGCTATTATTTAAAGCAATTCTTTGCAGATCAACTGCTACGATTCTAATTTCACCTCACTGAGTGTCCATATAGTTAGGAAAAAATAACACACATATTTTGGGACACAAACTCCATTTACCCAAAGTTTCTTTGTTATGAATGATACTTAATCAGAAGTAACATAGCATGGTGTCAAAAATAATTATAAAATTGGAACATGTTTTCAGTTAGATTTCATTTTTCATGTTTATTGAGAGAATAAGTGTATCTAAACTTACTACAATTCTTTTCATCTGAATTATCTGAACAATCATTTTCACCATCACAAACATAAGTTCCTTTTATACAGTTCATATTATCACATAGGAATTGTTCAGTATCACATCCTGAAAAATATCAAAATATATTCAAATAAATTGTATAAATAAATCTTTTTGTTCAAGGAAATGAAAAATATATTTCATAAAACAATTTTACTTTGAGAAAACTCAGAAATTTGTCAGGATTTTCTAATGTACATGTACATGAAAACCTATTCTTTACCTTTTTCCACCCTACAATCCACACCTACAGCTTCAAATGATTGACAAGAATGTTGTCTCCATGGTGATTTTTCACATTCATTTAGACTAGTTTCATTTCCAAAACACTCTACATCTGATAATAAAATATTGCCTGAACCTGATCCATAATCTACATCAGATGTATCTCTCTTTGCAGCACTAGAAAATAAACATGTGATTTTATAGGCTCGTCTATAGACAATCCATGAAATTTATGCTCATCTGTACGCATTTTGGCACCATAAAGTTTGTTTCAGATATTTATGTACATTGGTCATTCTTTGAGTATACCCTGAACAAATTGATACAGGTTTCAGAACGGATTATAGTGGCATTTTTCTGCTTAATAACATACTAAAAATCTACCAAAATCGGAGCATGCATAGGGGTCAAATTAATATGGTGTCCCAGATGACTGTCGAAAGCTTATAATGTAATGCTTCACCCACGTGGTGGGTCCTAACATTGAGTCTAAACGGCTGATTGGTTTATTGGCAAGAAGATTAACATGACAGAATTCTCATTCCTTGTATCTTGTACTCTGATGCAATCATAACAGTAAAA